CATTTTTAACTCAAAAATCTATAGAAAATCTACAAAAACTCTACTACCACCAGTGTTTGCATGAGGGTTTCGCAGTATCTGAGTAGTGGGTTGACGTCACAAGTCATGTGATACTGTAGAATTGCTTGTCCGTCACAGGGAGCTCGAAGTTCCTATTCTTGCATGTTTAAAAATTTGTTAAAAGTTGGGATTTCAATAAAATCATTGAACTCATCTTTGAAAAATTATCATTTTATCATCATGCTTCTAAACAAAAACTTTTAAGTTTAAAAGAACTCAAGCTGTAAGCTATCAAGTGCCATCCTTAATGCAAATAAGTTCTCAAAACAGAGACTTTCTTATCAAGGGCGCTAGAACTGAAATTATGACCTATAAGATTGAAAAATTGCTTAATTTATCCTAAGTAAGATAGTCGATAAAATATAAAGTTTTACTTATCTGAAATGTATACTGAAATGTACACTAAAAACACTTGATTTTACGTGGAAATTCATCCAAATGATCGTTACTCAAACTCTCAAACGATTGTTACTGAATTTATTACCGCTGTCCTTGTTGTACCAGCCACTGCTGTCTCGCCAACAACGTTATTGATTAATTAACGGGGTTAAAATCACTTTGCCTTGGCTGTGTCTCTTTTGGTGTTCAGCCAGGGCAAAGTGATTTTAACCAACAAGGACAACAAGGACAGCGGTAATAAATTCAGTAATAACCGTTTCAGTAACGATCATTTGGATGAATTTCCGCGTAAAATCAAGTGTTTTTTAGTGTCTAAGAAGACATTTCAGTATATATTTCAGATAAGTAAAACTATATTTATTATTGTATTATCGACTATCTTACGTTAGTATAAACATATTAAAGTGGTCTATCACTCATACTGCGCTGTGATTGGCTACTCTACTAATGGTCTAATTTGTGATAGACCACTCTCGGGAAAATCAATCTCATTAATAAATTATTTTAAGGATATTTCAATTTGTTTTCATTATTTGACCGATTAGTATGTTTATACTAAAGCAATTAGACCTCTCGGCCTCGTGGACTACGAGCTAATAGCCCATTCGGCCTCGAGAACTCAGCCTCATGGGCTATTGTCTCGTAGTCCTTTCGACCTCAAGTCTAATTGTTAATTAGATAAATTAAGCAATTTTTCGATCTTAAAGGTCATAATTTCAGTTCTAGCGCCCTTGTTCTTACCAACAATAAAAAACGTTTGACGATTGACAGTTCCTCATTTGTTGATTAGGAAGAGATCTCTTGGTGTTTTCTTGCCTTGCCCTTCTTCTGAAAATCCTCCACATTGAGGCTGAGTTGTGCAAAGTGTCTCCCAATTACCGCATGAACTCAAAGTTGGAGGGATACGTCATCATGACTTTTGATTGTGTACCAACCAAGGAGGACTGTGCTGATGCCTGTTCGTTTAACAACGACTGCCATAG